TCCCTCTTAAGTTTTCTTGTAATGAGAAACTGCCATGAGAAAGGTCACTCAAAGTTGCCTGCGGTGACCGAATGATGTAGGCGTCAATTTTAAACGCCTCGAAATTGTCAGATTGATACCTTGTCTTGGTTGTAAAGGATCTTCCTAAAAGATCTGTCCAAATCGGATGGAAAACAAAACAAAGGACAGAATACCGATGCCGTTGTGAGTAGGACAATTTCGTACTGTAGTAGCTACAGACTAGGCTGGGTAGAGCATTGATCTGGTCCCATGTAAAATCCAGCCCTGACTCTCAAAATATTGAAATGTGACGAAGATTTGAAATAATTATATAGACACGTTTATTTAGTTTAAGCGAATAATATAGTTACCTGTAGTTAACATGTGTTCCTAGCACTCGTATAGTACCTGTCGCAGAACTGTAGTATAACAGGTAACGATAGGCATATAGCTTACACTAAGCTGAATTTTTCTCATGAATGAAGTTTTGAATGAAGTTGAATGAACACTGCACTGCCACTGAAACGATTGTAAAGTTACAACATTTCAAAGCACGAATGTTATCGCCAACATCGTACTTGCAAGGAGGTACTTCTTCCCCAGCAAAACCCTTTGTACATGCTTTCACTGCGCTCTGTTTTGTTGTACAAGACTGCTCCCAGTATCATGCGTGTAGCGTTACGGTAACAGATTATGGAACCGGCCCTAAGCAATTGTTTCGGTACTTCAACGTTCTAGACGATTTTTGAGCTGGCCAGTGGCTCTGATTTCTACTAAGAGTTTTCCTCCTCCCTATATCATTCCCCCACGCATTTACACATAGAATTGTTTCCAGATGCGCTTGTCTCGTGTCCCTTAATGGGCACAAAGTGCGAAAAGGTAAGCGAGGATCAGCCGTGCCTTGTCCATAATGGCTCCTGTGTTCTCGCCGGCCATGTCTATCTTTGGCACCCCAAATATGTTGGGCTACAACGGCTGCTATTCATACAGCGAGAAACAGGTAGGGGATCACTCGCGTCTGGGCAAGCGTATGACCCGCTGAACAATATTCAGCTGCTCATTTTTAGATCAGATACAATAGAATCGTGATAGAATATGTCGAAAATAAAAAAAAAAAAGAAAAACATGAGCGGTCTGTGCATTCGACTAGTCATCGTTGCTATTTGCCGAAGAAGATGTAAACGCGATGCAAATACGAATCTTCTTACATGATGTTTCCCCAAGCTAAAATTGATAGTGTCATGCGTATGCAAATGGGCATTATGTTTATATCTGTCTAGAGGTGCTATATGGCAGAAGGTTGCAGCGGCATGAGATAAGTATAAGAAGAAAAACAACTACGTTATTGCGATATTTTGCTGCAATGGTAGAATAAAAGTTGTTTTTTTTTTTACTTGTGAGCAAATATATAGTTGTTTATTTCTATTAAAATCACAGTGATAAATTATGATCCGTTAGCGCGTATGCTACATTGCTAAAAGTCGATTTCGCTCCGGATGCGCAATTGTCAATGTACCTTAAGCCAGTCGTACGCTATCGGCGATTTTTGAGCTAGTTACGCTAATCCTTGTACATAGCTTAAATTTACGCTGTAGGCTTAGTCCTGCCTGTAGGGTTGTATTAATTCATCCATGTAGGCATCATCTTCTGTGCTTTTTCGCTTTTCCGCCTACCCATATTCCAACGTACATTAGGCCATGATGGGTATTAGCATGCCCCATGACCGCACTGCCTATCCGTCTAACAATATCCTTAGGAAAAATTAGAAAATTCTCATACGGACAACAACGGAAGCGGTTAAATGCTGCGCCGTTCCGTCCCGACTACTCGAGCACATGCAGCGTCGATAATAGGATCAAAGCGTCTGAGGTGGACACCTGCCGCCGTTGTCCACTGAGTCGTCGAAGTTTGAGTCGTTACACGATAGGCCAGAGCACTGCGAGAAACACAAGCACACTCCGTCGAAAAAAAGGAAACCGTCTTGGCCTAACTACTGGGAACCCAATCGGTGAAGAAAAACAGGAAAATTGGGAGTGGAAACTAAAGTACGTTTAATAATGGCTTTGTGTACCGTTCATACTCGGTAGAAAAATGGAAAAGACATCAAGGGAAATAGACATGTCGGCTTGCATAGGCCTTCGTACACATAATTAGGTCGTCGCTACTGCCTGTCATCACCACCCTTGCACCTTCAGTAATTATTTACAACGAAATAGTGGCGCAATAGATTGCTAGTTAATGCATTGTGTTAAGCTTAGACAGTTACTAAGGCCAGCTCGACTGTTGGTTTATTAGGAAGTTATGGAAAGCGTAAAGTTTTCAGTGGCGTTAGATGCCAGTGTTTGTCGACTCGTAGGTTCCTATTTTCCGCTTTTTCTACTTGCTCTTCAAGTATCTGCCACGTCGAAATTTACAGTTTTGTCGGAAAGAATCCTAGCTGAAATCTTGTGCTTACTTATATAGCACGGAAAACTTCTGCAGTAGTGCCGACAATGCATGTACCTTCGAGAAACGCATTAGTATATCGTGTGCGAGTAACTTCAGAATCTTCGGCATATGGAAAAACGAAAAGAGCTGTGAAAAAGTTCCCTTTTATCAAGGATTGCCACCACAGCAACTGGAAATGGAGCACACGTATCACCACAATTATAAGTCTCAGATGATACCCGTCATAAATATTCAAGGCATAGCCCCTCGATACAAATAAATAACCACCACACGACTGACCCCGTAGAATATAAGACGCAAATGACTATGTTGGTAATATGCACTCAAATAAGCTGAATATCTGAGTGAAACAGATGTTTACTTTTCGTTGTTATTAACGTTTTGCCTTGGTTCGACAATGGCCCATATCTTTTTCCGCTCGATTCCGCTTGATGCGATTGATACGCCTATCGTCGACTGTCGATATACTGTACACAAACTGTATAGGTAGTACATAAGGTAGACTATGGGCCTTTTGCTAGCCGAAACCGTTGTGAAAAACGCAATGTTTACTACCGAAGAAGTTGTCCTAATACCGATAACACGATTTCACAAAGTTCTATGGCGAATAGCAGCTGCTCTAACCGCGGCCAGATCCTGGGAGTGGTCCACTGCAACGGCAGTGTACCACAATACCTACGGTGGTGTTGGGGTTTGTGACTTGCGGGCAGAGTGACTTCGACATGGAGTTCATGGCTAAAAATGCTTGCAAGTTATAAGTGTCAGTAAAATGGACAGTGAGAGATAATAACAAGCGTTCCGCATAACCGGCAGCGGTGCGAGTCTGTGTGTTCGTCGACAGCAGGGCTTTCTATTTGATGAGGTGAGGCTAGGTACTGCATAGAATCGAATCGAGAAAAAAGGATAGAAAAGCAAGTAGTACTAGAATCGCTGCTGCTGCTGTTGCCGCCGCCGCCACCACCGCATAGCTTTTTGCTGGTAGCTGTAATTACTTGTCCATTGTGAACTTGTGACATTTTTAGGTTAACCTTCCGGTAGAATAGTGCCAGTTGTTAGGACTGTGGTCGGTCTCGGTGTGTCGTGTACGGGATTAGGTTAAATAAGGCCGGCGGCAAAATAGTGAATGAGAAGAACGGAGCAGCGGAGAGTGAATGAACTCAGCGATACACAGCTAAACAAAGAAACATTACTTATCCTCTCGAGGTAGAAATGAACGAAAAGAAGAATTACTTCTGTTTGTGAAGTTCTCAGGTCGCATGCGGTTTTGGTAACACTAGACTTGTCACTAGTTGAATTAGGTAACATGGCTCAAAAATATAGGATTTGACCAAGGTAATAATGGAACAATATTGAACGATTGCCAAGACAAGTCGTAATGCCTGAGAGTCACTGATAAAACCCTCTGTCTCTAATGTATCATGTCATGCTTTGCCAACGCATAGGATCGTCGTCAACAATGAATAGCATCGTCACGGCGATGGACCTTCTTCTTGCGGTCGGAGCGGCCATATAGCTCTACCAACGCAACAATCGCGAGTTCACAAATAGTTTTCATTAGATCATAAATAAATATATGGCTAGCTGCGGCGACATAACAATCACAGGTCGTATGGATGGTCGTTTGCGAACACGATATCTATCGTTGGCGTTGCACCTTTTGCTGTTGCTAAAATTTTCCATTGGGTTAAATGTTACATATAAGCACAGATCTACAGACTGTGTGTCCTGTCTGGGTCGCTGTGCGTTTGTTCAAGTGCCAAGTCGAACTCGAACGCTAGTAACACTTTCTACTATTATCATCGCACACAAAAGATATACATAGCGTTTCTATTTATGTCTATGAAAGGCTATATGCTTTCACACTATGGCCATAACTGCAATGGGGCCTTCTTGATCGCTCGAATATAGTCTTTGCTTACGTTTTACCTTTACGTGCAGACACTCGCACGCAACGCGTTCCAATATAATCTCTGTAATTAGTAACGCAATTAACTTTCTTCTTGCCCATATTGGTCTCAGTTATTTGTCATTCCCCTGTCTTCAACTCATCGCATATAGATATTGTATGGTTCCGTTTAGATAACTAGCCTCGGTACTGCTTCCGACTGTTGACCCGATCTGCGCCCAAACCGGTGGTCGCGCTCGTTTCGTCTTGGCTCTTTTGTGAATGAAACGATTTGGAAACAGTGGTTGGAAGTTAAAAGTTCCCGACGTGGCCTGATTCGCCATGTTGGCCCTGGTGACCAAGCCACCAACGGAAACTATATGAATATAAGGAAATAGATGATTCCATGTGAAAATGATCTTTATTTCGAATGGTTAAATCCTGAAATAACGACGCAATTGAATTACTACGTAGAAGTATATATTTAAATATTGTCGTTTAGTTTATATTATACTAAATGGTGATGTTTTGGGTTAGCGGAATATGATGGCATGAGTCGTAGTCTAAAAATCACGCATATGGTTTTCAATCACCATTCGAAATTCGACGAACGTAATTTTCGTCTTTAATCATGGCATACTCCTGTATTAATGTGTATATATTGCAGATGAAGGCGAATATCGTTGCCTGGCGAAGAATTCAGTGGGTTCGGTGCTGTCCAAAGCGGCGAAGGTGTCTATAGCGAGCATAGAAACAAACGGTCCACTCACAAATCGGATGACGTTTACTTCACCCGAAGGCGATGTACAGGTTCGTGCAGCTCAAGCTGTTGCCGAAGTGCACGTTGCGCTCGCTATTTTTGAGGATTTATAAGCTTTATTTCAATACGCAGGTTCCGTAAGCTCAAGGCGTGTGGTACGCAATGATCCTCTTCTAATTTTAGCTCGCTTAGAACAGTGTTAATATGTCAAATCGTATTAACTGGGCTTAACGAGTGACTCAGAAAAAATTTAGCGAATGATACGTGGCGTTTTTTTTTTGTAACTGCCCAATAGAGCACGGCGTAACTTAAATTTGCTTAATTTCTTTTTTAAAGTTGCCTGCTTCTGTTGGATCATGTTGTGTCTAAATTTAGATCCTGTCAAAACCAGCCGTCCGTTCAGTTCCGCGAGCGATCGCCCAGTGGACGCGTGACAGGACCCCAATAGTCAGCGGAGACCACTATCACGTTTCTCAAGATCAACGGTTATTTATACTGGACGCGCAGCAGGAACTCCGCGGCGAGTACAGGTATGATTTAGCAAGCTACTTCATCCTATAGGGACTCCGAAGAATATAAAAGGACGCTTGCTATTGATTTTTATGAGTAAAAGAGTGTTAAAAATTATTCGGCTTTATAGAGTAAATTTTCCGTGGCTTTTTGGCCTAGAGAAGCCTTTAATCGTAGTGGAATCGCATATAATCACGATTAAATCATCACAAGCATAAAAAAGCACGTTTTTGTGCGGCCTAAAGAAATTAAGTAACGGGCTCTATTTTTGGGTCGCATATTATAACTTAGAGCGTACATCGGTTGAACTACAGCAGAAATATCGGCTAGATACTTTTAACCGTTTCCATGATTGGTTAATGAGTAGCGTGGTCACACTTGGTGGTCTACGGTCGAACGCACGTATAGACAAATAATTCGTTTGGCGCTGGGAGCCAGCTGTCTGCCAATAGAGACGCCGCCCTCTACTTAGCAATTATGCTGACCCGCTGCGTCTTTCAGTGGATAGTATTGATTGTTAATCGATATTACATATAGGTGTAGATATATGCAGTGTTACATTATCGAAAATTGTTCCATCTTTTCTGTGTACGCCTGAGGGCGTCTGTCGTATATACATGTTGCGTTTGAAAAACGCAGCCCGTAATAAACGAAAAGTGAGACATAATAGTCGTAGTTCTCGTTAGCTTTGTACATTGAGTGGCTCATATGATCTTCCTCAGCTAGGTTTACCATTTATAAGTACCTTTTTTAATATTGTTAGTGTGCTGCTTCGTGTCAACCCTCAATGAGACAAATATGCGAGGCTGTCTGAGTTAACTTTGGCCCTTCTTATTTGACTGGCAGCTTGTGCTCGCGACCTGCCACAAAAAATATTGCCTTTGTATGCATTCTCTTTGATGTGTCTACTTAGAAAGAAAACACTTCCGCAAGATCGAGGATTTTTCTTGGCAATAAAACAGTTTTTTTAACGTTGACATATACACTAGTAGAGATGAACTACTATGCGATTCTTGTCCAGAATGCTCATTAACCACTTGCTGAAAATTCTCTCACGAAGAGTAAATACGTACAGGTTCAGGTTGATCTATATAAACTGAGATATAGTATATGGAACATGTTCCGTAGTATATTTCAAAGGTGAGTAAGTGCAGGCCTATAGGTCGTGTATGCGTTATGAAAGCATCGCTATGCGTGCAGAACCCCTTTGTTGCCGCCGTCGTCGGTATCAGAAACTTATCGTGTTTTGTCGTGAGATAGGCTCTTCCAACAAGTCCATGGCAGCCGGACAGTCGGCGACATCGCTTGGTTCCAGTATGTTTTCCATCGTCATACCTCATTCATACATAAAGCAGACAAACATGTGTCCGATAGACAAATGCCGGGCGAGGCGCGGCATCTTATTGGGCATCGTGGCTATCCAATATATCTGGCAGCAGAGAGATATCGAACGAAATCGCTACCAAACGATTGAAAACATATCGTGACCACGAATGGCCAGAACGAAAGGACCACTGTCATCCAGACCGATCATGCGGCTATCTTTGTAGATGATATAACTGTCGCTGCCTTAATCAGCATACTGACCCGAACGCTTCTCATATACAGCCGCCATCTGTATGACTGACGGCCAATGCACGCGTATTGACGGTCTTAAATCAAGCGGATTTAAACCGTTAATGAACCAAAACTGGCCGTCGGCTCGCTAGGCTCTGTAGCTTCTGCCTTCGCGGTTAATAACTATGATACGTATAATGCGTTTTACTAGCAATATATGTATATCTATCGAGGCCATATATGTATGTCTCGGTACCGGTGTACAGATTCGGAAGGTAGCTGTTATAACCGAAGCTGTACATGGCTAATTGAGAAAAATGCGATTCTGGGAAGCGACCTGGTTGGAAGGACGCTTTTAGCTGTCTTTGGCTATGCCCTTTTTGACGGAGCAGGAGGCCCGAAGATTGGGCCCAGCTGAACGACAATGATTCCGGAAGCGAGCGAGGAAAGCTAAAGAAGGCTCATACACTAAGACCAGCTACTAGGAAAAAAGTCAACTTCGGTTTTGGCGTTGTTTTGTAGCTGATGGCAAGCGGAGATCCGTAGGTTTGTTACTGTTGCTTCTGGGATTCATAAAAGATGCTCGTGGTAGTACATTTAAGCATTTTCCCACCTTTTCTTTTTTATTTGCATCTTTTAATGACAGATATTTCTTCATATTGTACTATTCTTCTCTTCACAGTGTAAAAACACTGGAGGGAGCCAGAATGGGTTATCGGCTCTAGAATGTGTGGTGCTAACTTCATCAACCTAATGTACTCTCGTGTGGACAGATTAAACACACGTTAAATATCGCCATTACCGTTTAATGCTATATATATCAAGTATATATGTACTTTGAAAGAAGGGAGGAAAGAGAGACTGACGAAAGATTTGTTAATCACCCTATCGTTTCGTGGTATGCTCTTTCTTCTTGTCGTCTTCATCATAGCAATATTCTTATATACTTTTCCATCGACCTAAACAAGACCGATCTGCTACCTGACATTTCGTCCTCTGTTCTGAGAAGGGCCATGTAATATTGATCGACCATAATTGTTGGTGCCGGTTGCGGCTGTGGTTCGAATAATATTGGTACACGTCTTATCTTCTAGTTATAGGCATTTTTGCGTTTCTGCTTGCGGAATGATAAAGGGTCTATTTGAACAATAAAGAGATGTGATGTATTAACCTAACAATATACTTCACAAATGATTACGTCGCTGATGACCTTGCTCATGGACTTCGTCGCGGACTTCAGTTCGCTTACTAGTTTGTAGGTTCATGCCGGTCTATGTAGCAACGCTAACCTAATGTGAAGAAAAAAACGCATGTTTCTTTTGGCGTCCGCAACGTGTTGATGCAAATACAAATCGAAATTACGTTGTCAACAAAGGCAGGGTCTATTTACAGAGCTTATTTAGAACTGCGCGATACGTAAAATTGTCCCTTAGCGAATCAAATAAACGCCTGCCGTTTTTGCGTACCGCTGACATATTTATCTTATATACACATATGTTAACAGTATGCTAAGCCGTCACCAAATGTAGACCTACGGTGTAGATAAAGGGGTTTTCCTCGACAAGAAGAAGAGTAGCGGATATAATTATGCATTAATAGTTTATTTTTATGTCGTTAACATTCAATGATTTGCAACGGTGATTCGCAGACAGTATTTTTGACAGAAAACATAATTGAAGGTAAACAGAGGTGAATTTCCACTGGTATTTTTTGCGCCGGACTACCAGCAGTTAGCTGTCTCCCACCATGAGCGGGAAAAGGAACTCGGACGGATGTCTAATACAAAAGTAGACTATTTCGACCTACAGTTATATTCATTTCTATCCTAACAGCGTATAGCGGTAGTACGTTGACCTAACGGAGGTCGATATTCGAAATGATCCACGCACTCTTTTCACCCGGCAATTTCCGCTAAGTAAATGCACGCGACTTTATTATATGTTTATGGATAGCGTTGATTTCCTATTGCGGAAATACTTACGGAAATAGGTTTTACCTCGCCTAGAAACTCAACTTTCTGTATTTCTTCATTTTCTCTGTATAGGTGCGACTCTTTCTCGCGTTCGCCCTTGTAAGATTCTCAGATATTCGAATGTGTAGCTCGTGTAGCCGAATTATTTAATTAACAAATATTTGGCTGTGTAAATTTATTCTGCAATCTTACAGGATCGAGTTGACTAATCAAGTGACAGGCGGCGTAGTAGAAGGACCTCCCATCGAATTCAAGGTGTTATATTTGATCTTCTAGATATGTAAACCAGATTGTATAGGAACATTACATACTATTTGTAATGTAAAAATATCATCGAATTGCCTGCCAACCAAAAACTGTATGGCTGCGCTTTGGTTCTCTTTGTTCTTGTATCGAGCAATGCGTAAAAAACGCTGGCATCGACCGCTGGATCGGGTTTTATGACTGCCTAAATTTCCTCTAGTTCTCTGAATAACTATCGCTTAAATAGGTTTTCTTTGAATGATGAAGCTTTTCATTGATTCTTGTGCAATTTGCTTTAACGAAATGCCATGTAGCTTGTCGTGGATGTTTTGTTGAAACGATATTAAGATATATAACAAATAATTACTGTGTTCACTTTAGGTGTTAGTAGCCCTTTTACGTTAAATTCAGTGATTTCTCGTAGATTATATTAAAGCTAAGGTTCCATCTACTTTATTCGGAACAGATATTTTCTAGAAGCATGTCGCCAACACCGAAAATTGTGCTACCGCCGGCGGAACGCGTAAATCTGAGTGTGCCCCCTGTCGGAGTTCAGCCCGTTCCAAGCGATGTACATGTTCTTGAATGTGTCGCTAACGGACACCCGATTTCACAGCTTCGCACGTTATGGTTCAAGGACGGCATAGAACTGGAGTATACAGGACTTCCGGTCCTATTTGAAGCACGCAATCGCTCTGTAATCCTGGACAAGCTAAGTCTCGACCACGCCGGCATGTATGAGTGTCGTGTGTTCTTGCAGACATCGTATGGCCCATTAGGGACCGATTCAGCGTTTAGTAATGTAACCGTCTCTACGAGACCGGTCGTTCAACAAATGCCCCCCGAACGAGCCATCGATACGGGATCCTCACTTGGTAAATATCGTAGAATTGCATGAGCTCCTGTGAAAACGACTTAAACGGTCGTCTTGGCCTTTGTAGAACTGCATTTCGTAGGTTCACCAAATCATTCACATACGGCTAACAGTGAATACAGGAACCAGTGGGTTTCTTAGGAGAAATGTTTTATGAACATACCGCTGTCACAAGAATCTTAGTTTCAAATACTAAATATTTGAAAAATACGTCCTTAGTAGATGCTGACTGCACTGAAGTTTATTTACTTCTGGGGGTACATACTCCACAACTTCTCCTCCCCTCTATCGAAATAGGTCTGACATGCAACGCGACTGGCCACCCACATCCGGAGATAAGTTGGTTTCGCAATGGCGAACGTCTTGAGCAACGCGGCACGTATCTTGAGGTGAACAATAGCGATGAAGGTGGAGTGTATCAATGTCTAGCCCGTAATTGGGTGGGCGAAGACATGAGTTCGACGTGGGTAAACGTGAAACGACTTCAGCCGATGTTCGTTCGACGGCCCCAAAATGTGACCGCTTTGGCAGGCGAAACATTCTCGCTCGACTGTAACGCCACTGGAGCCCCGCAACCACGCGTCCGCTGGGTTTTCAATGAGCAGGAGCCTGTTGAAAGCCAAGGCCGGTTCCGAATCGATCCTGATACTAGGTCGTTGACGGTATCTCGGGCCGAGGTCAACAACACGGGAAGGTATACCTGTGAAATGAGCAATTCAGCGGGCCGGACGGAGGCTTCGGCGTACGTTACCGTATTGAGCAGAACTCGAATCGAACGCCCGCCACAGGACAGTCGTGTCATTCTTGGCAATACCGCAGTCTTACAGTGTGGGGTGCTGAGCGACACGAAGGGAGGCGGTGAGCCAGAACTCACCTGGTTATTTAATGGACGACCGCTTCCAGCGAATTTGCGGGTGGTAGTGAGAGACGACGGAGCCCTCGTGATCCGGCATGCGCGGAATACAGACATTGGTAAATAAGGCTTTATCTTGTGATTTGAATATACGACACGGCGTCATCACGCCTCTTTGACAACGGTATCCCTTTACTGTCTCGAAGATACAGCCTTGATGGCTAAAAAGTTTTTCTATGTATTATGTCACCTTTCCTTTTTATCTTTGTGCATCTGTAGGAAACTATACCTGTCAGGTAACGTCCCCCGGGGGCAACGATGCACGTACGGCACGTCTAGACGTCATTGAACTACCGCATCCACCCACATTCGTCCATGTTACCATAGTCAATGAGTTCCCTAAAACTGTCAATGTGTCCTGGGCGAAGAGCTTTGATGGAAATTCGCCGATCACATCCTACATAGTCGAACGAAGGGAGTTTCGAACAAACCAAAGCGAGGATTACGACCTATTGACTGGTTGGAAAGAACATCAAAACAACATATCGGCTGATGCCACATGGCTCCTTGTTGGCATGCTGAAGCCCTCGGTCCCGTATGAGTTCCGAGTACGCGCTCAAAATGCTGTGGGTTTCGGCCAGCCCCGTCGAGCTGCAGAAACAATTATTTTGCCAGCCGAAGCTCCTGGAGGCCCTCCTACAAATGTGGTAGTGGCGGCTCGAAGCCCAACCTCAATAGTACTTCAGTGGAACCCGCCTACGGAAGGTGATCGTAATGGAGCGATTCTCGGCTATGCAATCCGGTATCGATTAGCCGGTTATTCGGGCTCCACTGAGGCTGAGCGTCGGGTTAACGCTAGTCAACAGCTACCTTTTATACTGGACGAACTGATTGTGTGGCAAACCTACGAGGTATGACTAATTAGTACTTAGCGATCTCGAAGCTTATCGTTTCATTATCTTATCGCGGATTTTTCAAATCAAACACTAGACATCTGCTATTTATTTTACTAATTTAAGAGAGGTATTACTTTTCTCAAAGAATGTGCGCTAACTATCACTATTTGGGCGAGCAAGACTGTAGAGTCATATAGCAACTTAAACCTTTATCGATCATTCATAGCTAACTGCTTATCCGTTAATTCTTCAATGCTCAATGCGCATTCAATGCTCAATTTTGCTTTTATTTCTGGTGTTTTTTGCAGGTCCGGGTAGCCGCATTTAACGAAAAAGGTGTCGGTGTATTTTCGGAGCCACTGACGGTTCGCACTAAAGAAGCACCTCCACAGAGCCCACCGACGTTACGACAGGTTTACGCCGTTAACTCCACGCACATCAAGGTACACAAAGCAATCACTCTAATTCCTTTCTTGTATACTATACAATATCCGGTTTGATAATAGAAGTATTTGTGAAATAATTCTCGCCGTCGTTTGCGAGATACAAAGCATAACTACCGTTATTTATCCGAGGCCCTATAGCAGATGGTTATGACGGCTCTTACCATCGCCACCAAAAATCCAAACAATATTTTATCTCGGTTTTGCGAGAACGATTCTTCCCGATAGACATCCGACTAGTAGTACTAGTATGTTACAGCACCTGTGATAGAATAATGATATGATAACGTAACAATATATTGAATCGCTTGAGAAGATCGTCTGCTCAAATCAAGTTAGGGTTAAGATCAATTGAACTCGATTTTTTTGTGGTGAGAACTCTTTTTTGGCACTTATTTATGCTCTGGTGGGAGTTGATGTCAAGCTGATGAAAAATGGCAGATATAGTTGTTGCTTAGCTGATGACCAGGAGACCACAGGCCGTTAAGTATTCATCGCTGATTTTCTTGACACGTTTCGGATATGCTGGTCGAACAACGTATTTTTTGTATTTTGACAATGCTCTTAGCATTATAATGTTTATGTTCAGCTAGTCGTACTTTTATCTATACTACCCTATCTGTACAAAGTGATTATTCTGTTATTAATGCTATTCTATTTAGTCATAATGACAAATGATCAGGTCACATAGCCAATACACCACAATCACGGTATTGAATTAAAAGGCGTTTCTATTTAAATGAAGATCCTCACATTCATTGAAGAGTATCAGCATTTATATTCATTACGAAGTCGACCACTCTGTATGCCGCTTACTGTATTGCAGGTAGTTTGGAGCCCGCCTGATCCTCAACAAATCAACGGGATTAACCAAGGATACAAGGTTGAAGCCTGGTACAATGGCGAAGTTGAAAAATCAATCAGGGTGGGTCCGTCAACGGGAGATCCTCGGGACGATCAAGAGGAGATCTTTGGCGGGTTGGCGAAATACCGCTCATATAACATTACGGTGCTATGTTACACATCGGCAGGCGACGGACCCAGAAGTCATGGGCTCACAGTGTGCACGAAGCAGGATATTCCTGGACCTGTAAAAAATATGAACTTCGAAAATGTCCTGGATTCGTCCCTTGAGCTACTATGGGAACCGCCGGAAGAGCCCAATGGAATCATCCTTGGTATGAGGATAAACAAAAGACAGTTGTAATATATTCTCATTGATTATAATACTATTATAAACTTATACAACTTCACCAACTCTGTTACATGCATACGTTCGAGTTGGATAATCATTCATATATGTTTGCGTTTATGCCGCTTGTTTGTAGGTTACACTATTAACTACTGGGAGGAGAAAGATATCACTACCAAACTAACGGAAAAGGCCAAATCAGAAATTCGAATGGTGTTCATTTCTGGTTTAAAGCCATTGACATCGTATGTATTCGAGATTTCGGCAAACACAATGATTGGTCGTGGGCCTCCAGTTGTTGCGTCAATCCAGTCTGGAATACCCCCCGTGCTTCCTGAGGCGCCTTCGAATTTGGCCGTGTCCAATATCGGTCCGACCTCTGTGGTTCTGCAGTTCCACCCTGGCTTCAATGGAAATTCATCGATTCTCATCTGGCATGTCCAAAGCCAGCAGGGTCGCAATGCGGAGTTAAGCAAGGGCGAAAAAATGTCTTCATGGAGCTCGCTGTTTGAGTACAAAGTCGAGGTGGACCGGCGCCGAAGACCCAACGAAATCCCAGCATCCACTCAAAGCATCACTGTCCCGAATCTAGTACCCTACACGGAGTATAGGTTGCGATTGGTCGCCGAGAACGTTGTGGGGCAAAGTGAGCCATCTTCGCCAACTAAATTTTTCGAAACACTTCAGGCTCCACCAACGAAGCCGCCGCAAAATGTAACAGTGCGTTCAGTGAACGCGACTGCCCTGCGAGTACGCTGGACGCCTTTAGTCCAGGCAGACTGGTGCGGAGTGCCAAAAGGCTACAATATTTCACATAGGCGCCTTTCGTCTGATGACCCGCATGCGGTCTATCGGTCCGAGCTGTTAACAGATCATAACGCGAATAGCTTCGTCATCAAGGACCTCGGTCCATTCAGTCAGTATGAGGTGATTGTGGCTGCGGTCAACGACGTCGGTTCGAGTCCGTGGTCGAACGCTTCAACAGCAAACACAATCGAGGCCCCTCCATCGGTTAGTCCCAGCGGTCTTGAGGGCAAAGCCACTACGTCAACTACAATCGTTGTCAGTTGGCAGCCTCTGGAGAAACATTACCGCAATGGAGATGTGCTTGGCTACAAGATCTCGTATCGTCCACTTAAACAAAGTTCGAAACCCCACGTGAGATCGATTGACGCTGGTATCGAGAAAACAGCGTACTCGACAACACTTACCGAGTTACGAAAATATACCACATACTCTATTCAGGTGTTGGCGTTCACATCGGCGGGAGACGGGCCCCTTAGCCATCCGGTGATGGCCACCACATTTGAAGATGGTGAAGACGTATTTCTTATTTACCGACACTCATATGTACCAAATATGTCTTAGATTATGCGTTCGTGGCAGATCAAACTCACATTATAATCATGTATGCCATATTACATACTTTATATAAGAGATGGTTTAATGAAAAATAAGTATTAACTTACTTTTATGTATATGTATATATATCTATTCTAATAATAATTTTGTTGCTCATAAATTGTTCTAGTTCCTGGTGAGCCTTCAAACGTGTCATTCCCAGACGTGTCGATGACAACTGCGCGCATCATATGGGACGTTCCCAACGAGCCAAACGGTGAAATTCTTGGGTACAAAGTAGCGCATGCACTTCTGAAACAGGGTGTCGAGCTAACCTTCACGAACAAGGAGGTCACGCCGATGGAGCGCACTTTGAAGGTGAACAATTTACGTCCCAATGAATACTATGTCTTCTCGGTAACGGCGAGGACCAAGGAAGGTTGGGGACAAGAGGTCCGTGCGCAAGTGCTAACTACGTCATCACGAGAACGGCCTCAAGCGCCTTCGTCACCAATCGTCGCTCCATCACAGATTCAGGCCCGTCAATTGACATTTACATGGGCACCCGGTGCAGATGGCTTCGCACCTCTGCGATACTACCTCGTTCAACAATATGAACCATATTCTCACAAGAGTTGGAAGACCCTTCCAACAAAAATCGATCCCCAGGTGACTAGTTTTACCGTAACTGGCCTTCGGCCATCGACTGTATACCAATTCCGTCTGGAGGCTGTCAACGACATTGGCTCGAGTGGATGGAGCGCGGAGTCTAATCGAACCAAAACATTGCCAGCGGCTCCTGAGAGACCCCCGAGTGGGATTGTCGTTACGCCGTATACCACAACGTCGATAACGGTCACCTGGACACCGCTAGATGACCTAGATTGGAATGGGGATACACAAACGCAGCTGAGGGGGTATCGAGTCGTAGCGTGTCTGATCGCCAGTGGTGTGCAGTTAGCCGAATGTCGTTCTGAAGAGGTTCGTGGTCAGTACTCGTACAATATTACCATCGAAGATCTCATTAAAGATAGGGATTATGAAGTTCGAGTATTTGCTGTAAACGCACAAGGCGATAGTCCGGCGAGTCGAACAGAGAAGGTCGCTGTTGGCGAAGCCGTACCAACTGGTCGGCCACTTCACGTGTGGGCCGAAACCACGTCATCGACCGAAATTCGAGTGATGTGGAAATCGCCACCGAAGTCTGAGTTGAACGGTGCGCTCTTAGGCTACAAGATTTTTTACACGCCGTTCAAAATGTTGAATGGTAGTTTGTTACGAGAACAGAAAGAAGCTGTTCCCGTGGAACCAACCCAGTATACGCTTATGGATCTTGAGAGCTTCACTAATTACTCGATTCAGGTTTTAGCCTTTAATCCAGCGGGCGATGGACCCCGTTCCGATGCATTAATTGTGCAGACACAAGAGGACAAGCCCGGTCCTGTCACGAATCTGACCTTCAGTCAGATTACGATGTCATCGTTGCTCGTTTCCTGGCAGGCGCCCCACAATCCAAACGGGATTGTATTGAGCTACCGGCTTACCTATGAGACGACCAACTCACAGGGCAATGAGTTCAGCAAACAGGTGAAACAGAAATTGAACGTGACGTACTTGCATGTGAGCGGACTTCGCGAGAACCTTACGTATACGTTTAGCGTGCGCGCCGAAACCATCTGCGGATATGGGCCGGTATTGAGCAAAAACGTTACCACGGGACCGCAAAAGAATTCGCCGGAAGCGCCGACCGACCTCGTGTTGAAAAGCACCACGATCAGTACGACGCTGTCTTGGAGGAATTCGTTCGGAGGAGACGCCCCTATATCCGGCTACCTCATCGAAGTGAAGCCAGCAACGTCTAGCAACGAAGAGGAGCCATGGCACACGGTTGTTGCCTTGGACAATGGAGCCCAACAGTCGTACACGCTATCATACCAAAATCTCTTACCATCAATGGGCTACAAGCTTCGACTCATGGCAAGAAATCAGTTCGGCGTGTCAACACCAGTCTGCGCTAGGGATATCGTTGAGACACCAAGTACGTAACGTTTTTTTTGAGGCGTGTTTAGTTGTAATGCACTATTCGGCGCGAAGACTGCACACAATTAACCAAAAAAGACGACCATAGCGCAACTTCTTACAAGAAACAATGACAATCGACTCTACTCATCTCTTGAGAACGACCAATTTTCTGAAAGCGGCCTCAAGTCATCTATGGCCGTTGCGTGATTATATTTCCTCAGCACATATGGTCTGTAAAACCGTACTTACGTCGTTGCATTTTGCAGCTCTGGCTGACCCTGATAAATGTATTATTTCCATATCATTATCATCATCTGTCGAATCTTTCCACTTAGCACCGTTTCGTTCAAGCCAGCACGTGTTTGCTGTTTGTAGGTCACCCCAAACCACGAAAGTAATGTGGGTTGTATTGTGTATTGTAGACAGAGCTGCTGTTTGTTCATGGCACCCTTATCAACGCTATATGGTGCTGACGACAGTCCAGTTCGGCAAACGACTGAGCAGTGATATATAATTATTTAATTATATAGTCGATTACTATTGCAAGCATTGACTATGGCAGGTTTAGAAAGCGGATAATTAAAATAGTGCTATAGAATTAATAGAAATTGGTGCTTGATCATTAGATTAAATTTTTAGAGCTATGTTTATAGAGCTTCTGTCATAATTTAGGATTTCTGTAAGCAAACAAGAGTCAGAATAAACTAGATAGTATTTGACATTCCCTGTTATCACCGATTTGAGATAGATATATTATCATTTAATAGCTTTTTACATGCCGTTGGCTCTTTTCGTGGTGTTTGTTGTGCTCTTGGTCAGGTCAATAGGTCCATCGACGTGAAAGATTAGATATAATTATTCCAGCTATTTGCTGGGTAAATACTATTCAATGGTGTCGTGACATGGCTTGGCGTATTTACCTTTCTGTGCCGTTTTTGGGATTATTTTAGAATGAACTAATGCTTGTTGGCCTTAATGTTTCAAATCGCGTTTCATAGCGCCATATGCGCCATGTCAAGTGATGCTTCGAATGACTGTTTTTTCTTAATTAACTTTTACCCCCCGTACTATTTATAGCAATAAAATACGAGAGTTAACTGACTAAGATAAAGTCAGACATTGTCCAGCAAAAAAATTGCCGACAGCTTTTCTTTTTTGGGGCCTTCGACGATTTGAAGGTTATCGACGTATTCGCAATTGTTACCTTAGAACGCTCATTGTGGTCTAAGGACTTCATGAACTACTAGAAAAAGCAGGCTTCGAATCGAACACAAGCCGATTTACCATTGAAAGGGATGCTTGATCTTTCCCAATTGTACATCTATTTGGTTTTAGCTGTCGACTAGATGCTTCTTCAGCATTCGAGTTTTACATCCGGGGCTCCCGTTAGACATTGCGTCAGACGGCCGGCAGTTTCTACCACGAAACGGGACGCCTCTGTGCCTGGTTTTGAAGCTATATCCAGTTCCTCGGTGTTCAGAATATCTTGAGTTAGTAGGGACTTGAAGGACGCCTCAACTACTATCCAAATTGCACTGGGAGATGGCTTCAATTCGTTTAGCGCGCCCATTCTGTTCCCTACCAAAAAAAAAGGCCAATACTACCAATCTCCATGGCCAAAAGGCCATGGAGATTGGTAGTAATGATGGTAGATATTTTTTATTCTTCGTATGTTTTTTCCACTTGACACTGCTTGAATATGCTGTGCTAGCAATGATTCTTCTGCTCACTGATCTTGATCGTTTCGACTCTGATGTTCTATACCTATTTACTTCCGTATCTCTTCATGTCTGTCGAAACCGTTTAACCATCAACACTTACCGTCGCCTCATCATCTTCCTCTGGGGATACGCGCTATTCCATATGCGTCATGTCTCCCGTGGTCCCATACTATCAACTTGATTATGCCGTCTTTGCTTTCAGATAAGTACTATCTGGAGTTGAAGCGCTCGATGCCATTCTACAGGGAGGTGTGGTTCCTTGTCATGGTGGCCATCACTACGACGATCATTATCGTCCTAGTAGCAACCATTTTATGCGTGAAGGGATCCGCCTATAAATACAAACGTGAGTAATATAGTAGTGTATTCTGTGTATAGGGACAACGCTTGAATCAGTTAGAAGTGATGCTAAATCTTAAATTACATATAGAATAGGCTACAGACACAATATGTTTCTGTGAACTGAATATAGCATTTAGTCATTTATGATCAACTTTTTTTTTGAGGGTCGTACGGTTGACACGCGACCTAACCTAAGAGGCAATAATGGATCTCAACAGCGACTGTGTAATTCCTCATTCACGTATGTATGGTAAAGGACTATATTTACTAAACAATTATATTTGCCTGTTATCGAAAAGAAGAAAAGACCTATGAGCAACTAAGATCAGTCTTTATTTGTTGCCGCCGATCGTTACCTATAACCATGGCTAGAGACGGTGATGTGACGTGCGAGTCTTTGAATACCTTTAACATACTCAGTGTGGTTCCACCGGTAAGAGCACAAACATTACCGTTATCATAACTACGATATAAAAATATAAACAACCATAAAGGTATGCGTCTTTGTACATAATTTCAATATTAACAAACTGTCATGTTCGCACAAAAATATCTTGTGTGTTTCTTGTAAATCGTCACACGGTCACCATCAGTGGTGCCGACGCGTGAAAATGGGAACGAGCAAATCTACCTAAAAATGAATTCGATTTGTTTTTTTATTTTTTTTCTAAATCAAACAAAGATCATTTTGCTTTAACTTTTAAATCCGATGCTGCTGGTATTGAGGTGGCGGCGGCGGCAGCTCAGCGTGTACCTGTAATCCTCTACGCATAGGTTTAATGACATTTTGTTCAAAGTTGTAACGTAGTTGATGGTGTGGAACCTCTATCCTCATAACCAACTTGTTCCTTGTATAAAGCATGATTTCTGAAATTATTCGTTTTCTTCCATGAAAGTGCTACATTTCAGTGATTTAGATGCCTTTCCATCTTTGTCTAACAATATTTAACCGTTGAATGATAAACTAGGCGAAGGGAGGGTTTTTTTTTTACTGAATATTAGTCTTCCTAACCATAACTCAACCATATCTCCTTCAAAACATCACCAAGATACACCAAAGACTGATTGTTTTATTCGAGTGTAAGAAGAACTAGATATTGAAACGTCCCATTAAAGCAAGGATCCTTAATAATCCGCTATATACAACACGGAGTTCATTCAGAAACACGCGTTAACAGTATCTACTTGTTCTTTTTTCGGTGTTTACAATACTTGTCTAGTAGTTATCTCGAAATAACCTTGAAATAACCCTAGAGATACATTTATCGAGGACGGGTCTAGATTAGGCACCATCCTGCAATATGAACGCCACTCAACTCTAATAATAATAACTATTATTATTAAGTATTAGATCGCGCTGATACGGTAGACAGAATCACATCTTGTCTGTGCGTACTTGGGTCACTCGCTTGCGCATCATGACTATGCGGGGCGAGGCGGGGTGGGGTGGGGGCAACTTTGCCGCAAGTTCGGCGTGACCTACAGGCAGCCTCCGCAAGAGCAACATGACAAAAAAAGGTTTTGACCAATGCTGTCCATGATTTGGCGTCTGTATTTAGCCGAATTCTACAATTTGATGAGCGAATGAAAAGATCTAAGTAGAAAATCAATCGCTGATTGTCTGCTACTACGGTGAATCGATAATAGGCCAACGTCTTTTGTTGACAGTGCCATGCTACATAGTATTTAGTTGAAACTGTTTCTGTTTGTTAAGGTCTACTTCGTCGCTACTTGGCTTACCTTAGCTGATGTCACCATATTGACGATTTACTGGATTTCATTTTGTCTCGTGAGCCGATAACGAATACGCCCTATCGCTTCGACTTCTTCGAGCAACTATGCTTTGTTTCTGTCTGTCTCTATATTTTAGCACACTGGGGGGTGGGGGCTGATTTTTAGTAATGGTTAAAGTAAAGAGAAATCGAAAAAAGAAATACTATAAATATATACGTACGATTGTAATTACTAAAAATGCGGCTGGATACGGACAGCGGCGGACATTTTAGCTCGAAGCGGCCTCAGCAGTCATATCTATGAGTTTCCTGCGGTGCCAACTCGGGCCTCGGTGGCAACCATCGGTACGACCAATATCAGGTGAATTCAATGAATTGAACGCATAGATAAGCCGGCCTACCACCACAATTGACTTCAGCGGCCATTAGGCGTATCTGGGTTATTACGGCAGCTTGTGCTTGCGTCCGAGACGACACTTGTGCTGTCATGCCGCTTGGCAAGTCAGGTTTTTCGTTTGTTCTATTAGGTACTGTATGAACGCATCATTCAATTCATTGTTGGTTTACCATAATTTGGTGATGTTATTTTGAATTTAAACGATGACTGGAGCCTGCTAGCTTGCCACAGTTCCGATGGATATTCTCAAGCATATTTGTCTGTTTGACATGTATTTGTGTCAAATTGCCCTATGCAACCCTTAACTGTAGTCAGTTATAATGGATTTCTATTCGCAACGTTACGTACGTAGATGTCTTCAGAGTCCTCATTCAATTCATTCTTTTTTGGTTTGTTTTCCTTTCAGATTATCTTCTCCGTGAGTTATTTATACTTCACCTTTATGTGTGACTTGATTATATTTGATGCTTGCGGAATGAATGCCAATGAAAATACGATTTATGAGAAAATAGTTGCATGGTGCAACAATATTGCCTTGTTATTAATGCCTCTTAGCTTATCTGTACTGATTAGTGCTTAGTCTTTCAGCGTAGGTGGGTCAGGCCTACCATCGCGATCCCTTTAACCATACACGAACTGTGTTCCCAGTCCTTCCACCGCACTGGTCCGAAGTGTCCTGAAATCCAACGAAGTGCAAACATCAACAGCTCTCAACATTTGTTCTAGCTGTTCGCTTTGGTTACTCGCATACGCTCGTATCATTTTCAGAATTGATCATTTTTTGCCTTGTTCGGATGCACTATCATGTTCTAATAGTATTCGATTTGGTTTCTGGATCCCGCAACATCGAGTTGGTCGTATACTTATCGTTTTTCTTTGGGCATATGATACACACATGCTATCGGTTGAACCGCCGGTTTGCCTCTTGCCCCCTCGGCTCAACGGTTGCCGCTTGTTGTTTTTTGTGGTTGACGCTTTTCCTATCGCCATACTCTGCTACCAACGAATTCCTTTAACACGACTCTATGAACCGTTCGTCTGCAGAGGAGTTGCTGGAACGCGAAGAGGAAGCGATGCGGGCATCGCATTCGGCACTGGACGAGTCGACGTTAGCAGCGCTCGAATTGCGTCCCGCAGGACCCGCAGCAGCGCTCAACTTACCGTTGGCTACGGCCTCGCTCAGTAGAAACACATTGGCGAGCAATACAGGCAGCGTTCGGCGGCGACCCAACTCTACACGGCCGAAATACGTCGGGTATGTTTAACTTGTCCAATTTGTAAGTTATCTAAATGTTGGATCCTGTCATAGTTGTATATTTCATCTGTGAATGTACTAATAGTAGGTAGCACACAAATCTGTCTCGCAATTACAACTTCCCTACTTTCAATAGTTAACAATCTTTTAAATTTGCCCTCTTGCCTGGATGCTAGTTTTTTTTTCACTTATTGTACTTGAATGTTACAGGCCCGCGTCAGTGACGTACTCCGACGAGGAGGATGACGTCAAAGGAGGTGGGGGGGGGTACGATGATGAGTCGTCACTTACTGAGAAACCTTCCGACCTCGGCGATTCTGACTCGGAAAGCGAAAGCCAGCGCGGGGGCGCTACTTCACGAGCGCATTCATTCGTTAATCACTACGCAAACGTGAACGACACGCTTCGGCAGAGCTGGAAGCGACAAAAGATAACGACTAAACCGCCGCCGAGTTATTCTGACCAGGAGGATTATCCTACGATGTCGTTCGATCCGACAACAACCATCTCAGCTGCTGGACCTTCAGGAACAAGTGCTTTTGGCGGACCGATACAAGCTGCTACCATGAATGGTGGACGCGTCGTTCTTAACAACACAGCTGGATCAAGGGCACCTTTGCCGGGGTTCTCGTCATTTGTCTAAGACACGAAGCTCTCCTGTTACGATGATAACCACAATAGTGACGAAGTTTACCATGATAATGATGATAACTTCGTCAAAGGCTTGCGACATATTCATAAAGTCTTGCGTCACACATACATTCATATGCATGTAAATATATAGATAAACACGAGGCAAGTTGACGTCAGTCGAAAAGTTAGAATCATTAAGTAGCGTGAGCGCTAGATAAACAAATGTACTCATCAAATAACTGATGCTGCTATCAAGTCCTCGACGTATATAGATCACTCACTCGTATATATTGCATGTGTATATATATATGTCTGCTCTACAGGTTCAGCCCATGTACCACCTTATTCCATAATATTCTATTGGCCGAAATAGAGTAAACTTTACCGTATACTATATATATATATAAAGGGAGAAATTCCAATTGGAGGTAGTTTACAGGCGCGGAACTAGAGGAAGACAGGTGAAAAGGAGATATGTAAAGAACAAATACACACCCGCCATACAAGTTGCCCATGAAACACTGTTAGCTTTCCCGTAGAAAACGCATTACGGCAAAGCCATGAAACAGGCACAAAATAAAGCGTGTTTTTTTTTTGTTTTTGTCCTTAATTATTTCCTCAGTGAACGTGCTAGGCTTAATGAAATACTGCTTCCTGACAAAAAAATCTCTGCAGTCAGTAGAGAGCGGGGCAAAGCTGAAGTAACATATTTTTGGCGGTAGGGCTGCTACGTTGCCGACCGCGCGCGAACCTTACGATTTCCATAATAATGTCCAAAGACATCCTAAACCGAAAGTTGTGAGGCACTTTAGGCCAGAGGTCGGCCAAGAAAAATGTATATCTTAAACCATTTTGTTATAATATTGTAATGGGTACCAGGAGAAAAACGAGAAAGAAACATTGGAAAATAGATTTGCTTAAAGAAAAATTAGAAATAAAGATGCAACTATAGAAGAGAAACTAGGCATAAGAAAAATGAGTAGTGATGAACCATTTACTGTTATGTTACACATGTGCTAAGAGCAACGACTGTCAATGTGTTGACAAGTAATGTGAAATAAGTATGCTCGTGCACAAAGTTGAAAGCAATAGGGATCTAGTTGTGCGCTTATCGATAGTTGTAACGTTAAGTTAACTGATGTCATCACCATCAGTGCCTTTTCTCAGTGTTTTATGAGAAAAGTTGACCTCTGATAGAGAGAACACCGAAAGAGAAAAGACGTGTGCGTGTGTTTCTAATTAATACTAGGCAATTTATGTGGGATGGAAACTATCTACTCTGTTTAAGTGTAGCCAGCTATACGAAAAATGTGCTATAAGCGTATATATATATATATATATATATATATGCCAAATTAGAAACGACCAAGTCATTCAGTAGGAACTAGCAATAGGCTGATGCTAAGAACGGCGTATATAAAAAGTATTCATGTACACATAGTTAAAAAAGAAATATAGGAAAGGTAATAGTATTTAAAATACTTAATGATATTTAGGTTGAAGAAATGAGTGGATTAGGCAGAGCACAAGATACTAACATAGAAAATTTAGCGGGGCAATTTGTACATGCTTGTTATAATTCGTGATGGTCGCACTCTACTGCGATGGGAAAAACCGCCATTATCACGGATAGGAAAGATAGAATTTTCAATCATTATACAGTAAGCGAGCGACGAAAATGGGTATAAAAATGCTGAAATCCATAACCGTTGATTTAGCGGTCATAGCATAAACATGGATATCATAAGAAACACGCGTTTCTTTTCTAAGGTAAAAGGCTAAACGCATGACACACGTAAAGGGTATTATTCTGCCTTAATATTAAAGAACTGCCAATACTTCCGACAATCTGTTTGTGGCTTTAGGCGCTGCGTGCTTTGATCGCTATCTCTGACGCTAGTTTACTATAAAACGATTTTGGTTAACGTTCTGCAATCTGCGAAAGCCTTCCATGTACTACAGATAAGGGGAGCTATAAAAGCCTTAAGCTACAGGAAAACGACGGAGAAATTGTTTTCTAGCAGACAGCCTTCCCGTCGTGTTCACGCATACACGCGACGAATCAATGCTACAGAAATGCTCATAATAATAATAATAATAATATTAAGAATAATAACAAAACGTTATTATTATGTTAAGATTGATGTAAATACTATTATCAATCCTATACGACTCGATGTGATTATGCCAATCATCAATCAACAAAAAGAACCTACGACGACATCGACAAGTAACAAAAAAACTGCGAAAGACGTATCTACATATGGAGAAAATATGACGAGTTTGTTTCTCAAGAACTGACGACGTCGGTTCGAACCAGACCATCAAAATAAAGCGTTCTTATATTTTGTATAAACAATATTTGCCGTATTTTATTGCACTGTATAACGTTTTTAGATAAACAGCTTTGTTTGGCATTATTTGAGCGGTTCGTTGATGCAGTTGCTCATGTTCTATTCTTGAGGTCTTAACAACTTCAAGGCAGAGTTGCTCGCATTTCTTCTGTTGACGATTTGACCTCTGTTGTTTATTATACCTCTGCAGTTCTATGTAGATCGCTATTTTTATACAAAACTCCTTCGTATAAACAGATATTGTTATATCTATATATATGAGGATTCTGGTTCATTTCCATTATTTTTCGATAGCTTCTTCAGCCATCTAAGTTGTCAGCATCATATTAATGATGTTCCTTATCCTAACTATACTGTTGTAATCCGTTGGACTGGTCAGTCAACACCTTGTTTGCAATATGTATATTTACAGTAGGGTACGGTACAATGGACAAGGGAATGTGAGGGAGGGCAGGACATGTCTTTGGGTATTGGGGTTTACGGAGCGGATAGATATTATGGGGCCTTTGGGGAGACGGGAGATTTATATGCGAATCGCCTCACGATCCGATCGGTTCGCTCGCGACGAGACGTGACGAGTCGCATACACGCATGCACGTTGATGCAAATTTCGGGACACAACTGACCAAGAACAAGGGACTAACTAGCTCCTCATCTTCATTTCATCTTCGATCAACAACAGTGACAGTAGCATGTATATATACACAACAGGGGCGGAGTAAGGGAAATGGGAACGCAGGGAAGATGGACTGAGGCTGACTAATGCCATCCGCCGCCAGCAGATGAGGCTCCACCCTGCTGCCAGGGACCTCCGTGTCCTCCAGACCGTTCCTGCTTTGGCTCTTTAACTATGAGGATCTTGGTTTGCCCCCCGCCGCCGCTTTGCTGGCCTCCCGTACGCGACAGAATCTGTCCGCCGGCGTTGGTCGTGGTGATCTTGTGCACTGACTTGATCTCCTGGGTAGGTCCTGAAATGGTGTAGGTGGCACCTCCGCCCTGAGCAAAATTGCCGTGGTTAGCTCCACCTCCCAACAAGCGGGAAAGTCCTACAGCGGAAAGGGCGGCGTTATCCTCGTCCTGCGCGCTGCCCTGAGAAGCACCTCCACCGTGGCCACCACCGAAGTCATCGCCTCCGTGGCCTCCACCGTAGCCACCACCTCCGCCGCCTCCACCTCCACCGAGGAAACCCCCGAAGGCGACGTGAGCCGCAAGAACAAGGACAATGAATGATTTCATCGTAGTGACGGCAAAAGCAATAAGGAACTGATGCTCAAAAACACACAAGTGAAGAAATCTATATGTATATATATATATATACTAACGAACACAAACGCAGTTTTTTTGTTGTTTGATTTCTGTGTGTCGCTATCAGCTGTTGATGTTACAGCCCAGCGGCCAGTCACTTTTATTCATACCTGGCCGGATGGGGGAAGTCGGCATAGTACGGGCGAGGGCTACTGCAGCTGCAGCTGCAGCAGTAACGGCCAGGGTAGATGGTCGCGCGTAAACAGATGAATCTAAGTTGTGTGCGTGTGTGTGACGTCTTATGTGAGTATCTTCGTGTGTATATGTGTGTATGGCTTCTTATATGGGTGTCTCTGCGTATGTGTAACTTTGCAGTACTCACCGTGAGCTGAATACCTATCTGTTGTTGGGGGCGGTGGCTGCTATGGGGACTAAGAGTGAGGGGGGTGAACGAACGCTAAGCTAACTGAATGAAAAATGGTAATTTCGCCGCTCAGTTTGCTGCTACTCCGTCCGTCGGTGGCGCCCCTCTGTTGAT